GAACAAAGCTGTATTCCTAGTTCACCGGTTGGTTAAGATTCCTAACATAGGACAAGTCTGAATGCAGCTCACAGTATTAAGTATGCACATATATTTTCTTGGTTCCAGCTATTTCATATGTAATAAATAATTACTGTATTATTGTATGAAGAACTGCTCAATTATTAATGTTCCCAGTAGCTAAAATACCTCAGAAGGACACATGTATTTTCTGAATAAATATCAACAAACTCATTTTCATTAAAAGAGAGTAAAAAAATAATTTCAATATATCTCAGGTAATTACTAAACAAAGACCTCTTATAACATTATTAACCAAAATCTATTACACAACAATGTAAACCAGTGGTTCCAAAGTGGCAATGATTTGGACCCTCAGGCGTTCGGCAATGTTTGAAAATTATTTTTGATTGTCACAAATTGTGGGCTGCTATTAGCCTGGGGTGCTTCTAAACATCCTGCAATATACAAGAAAGATCCTCACAACAAGGAATTACCAAACCTAAAATGCCTATGAAGGTAGAGAAACCCTCATCAAAATTATTCTTTTGTAACTTTTATAATAAGAGATTTACAAAGTAGGGCCTTCTAGTGGCACAACAGGTTAAAGTGCAGTCAGTCTGCCAGTTCTGCTCCCTACTCTGTCTTTGGAATCCGTTTACCCACTGTACCTCTTGCCTGTACCCCAGTTCTTTAAAAAAAGAGAGAGGGTCCTCCCTGGTGGCACAGCAGGTTAAAAGCACAGCACTAACAAGCTAAAGCCACTTCCACAAGAGTTCGATCCCTGCCTGCCCTAGAGATGACCACATGGTGGGGCAGACCTCTCCTGGCTCGCCCCCTGCTCCCCCCACCAGTGTACTTCCTTGATCTGCCTGTTCTACTCCCCACTCTGTCTCCGGTGAATCCTCTCGCCCACCCTGAACTCCTGCCTGTTCCCCAGTTACAAGTAAATAATAAATCTTTAAAGAGAGAGAGAGAGAGAATTTACTAAGTAATAATTCTTGTCAAAGAAGGGTTGTTGTAGATGAGCCACATGGATTTGAGATGACTAAATTATTGGAGTTTGACTGATGTGACCACATGGAGACATGGATATTATACCCTAGGACATGTCCATATGTTGTTCTACAGAAACATCTAAGTTTACTTTTTAAAAGATTTATTTATTTATGCATACAAGAACTGGGGTGGGAATGGGGAGTGAGAGTGGAGAGCAGAACAAACAGATCTACTGAAATACATTGCTAAAGTGACCAGCTGGCAAATGGGAGAGGTCTGCCATGCCACGTGGGTCACCTTTCTGATTGGGTATTGAACTCGAGCTGCAGTGGCTGCAGATTACTTTATAGTGCTGCATTTTTATCCCTTGTGCCACCAGGGAGGCCCCTAGAAGCATCTGACCTTTGAAATAGTGAGGATGTATTCTGATTTGATGTCTTCAACATAAATTTTTAAAAATGATTTATTTATTTATTTATGCATACAGAACTGTGATACAAGCCAGAGGTGCAGAAGCAGTGAGAGGCAAAATAGGAAGCAGAACAGGCAGATGGACTAAGTACATGGTTGAAGGGAGCAGTGGGTGGGTCAGGAGAGGTCTGCCTTGTCATGTGGATCACCTCCCTGGTTGGGGATCGAACTCACACTAAAGCAGCTGTGGCAAGCTTCACAGTGCTATGCCTTAACCCATTACACCACCAGGGAGGGCCCTCTTCAACATATTTTTATACTCTCCTATTCTATGGGTCTCACAGCCTCATAATTTTGATACTATCTCTACAATGATAACTTCCAAAATCCAGAAATAATGAGTCTTAGAGGTGAGAGAGACTTTAGGTACCATGTCCTTTAGCCTTTACCAGAAGAGGTAATATAACATCTCTGACATCTATTAATGAAGTCCATCACAAGCTCAATCTGGTCTCCATTTGAAGTCAGTCAAAGACAGGGAACTCACTATTTAGAAAGTTTGTCATTCTTATCAGCATCTGCTGAAAAGCAGACTTATGAAATGTCTTTCTTCTGGTGGGTCAGTCTGATTCATCTGTCTAATGATATTAGACAGGCCTATTTGCTCTCAACTCCTTCCAGAACTGATGCCTCACAATCCCACTGATGTTAGCACCACTTCTGGGACCTAACAAAATCAGTTTGTCCTAAGAGTGTAAATCTGTCTATGTTTGTGAAGACAGACATGGCAAATAAATTTTGAGATACTGTCCTATGTTTTCCTTTTGCTTCTCTCCCATTTCTTTTCCACCATTCAAGCAGATGGCAGGGTCTCTGCTTCCTTGTCTGAGGGTGGGAGACTGTGGCAGGAAACAGCCAGTAATCCATTTCCTTTTCTAGGTTTTATTTCCCAAAAGTCTAAATTGGTTGGAGAGATTTCACTAATTGCCTTTAGAAACAAAAGAAGGTGGGGATGCTTTTAGATACAACATGAGCAGAGAGGAAATTCCTTTAATAGAAACATGAAGTGACAAGTGGGAGACACTCCAATTCTACAGACAGAGAAAAGAAGGCAAATCTCTGGTTAATGTCCCACAGAGAAAGAGGTATGTGTCTCCCTCCCTTGCTAAAGATTCCCTATTCCAGATGAGCTCTGATGTAGAACATTCATCCTTTAGGAGCACAATAACTTGGTCAATGGTTGTCTGAATTGGAATTCCCTCCCTCTTTCCTTCGACCTATTTGCCAACCCACCCTCATCGCTTGGCTTTCCACCTGTCCTGGATTTGAGTAAAAGCAGCTTCAAGCATGCTGAATATTCTGTCTGATCAGTTGTATGGAGGTCAATGTAGAAAAAGATGTGTTTCTTTCACAGAGAAGCTGGAAACCAGAGATTTAATTTATACTGTGTGGCTATGTTATGAGACAGGTTTGCAGGGAGGCTAGATTGAATGTTGGAGGTCATTTACTAATTCTTACCTTAAACAAGTTTTTAACTAGGGACTTAGCATTTTCCTCTATAAAGTAAGACTAATATTACCTACTAAGGTGGTCATAGAGGTGCACAATCAGATTTCCCCTTGAGTGAGACTCTCCTGTGGTGGGTGTGATCATTACAGCAACCTCAGCCTGGTACACCTTCAGGAACCACTGCAGCATTTAAGATGAGCCTCCCTAAACCCAATCCCAGGGTGCTCCCAGCCAGAGCCTATGGGCAGTATGGGAACTAGACCCTGAGTATCTCTGTCTCTGGGGATCTCCAGCTAAATGACTGAATTCCATCACAGCCTGAGGCTCCTTCTATCTATCCTTCCTTATCCCTTTCTTTTCACAGGTTCTCTAGGTATTCCTGCTGGTTCTGTGCCCTTTATCTGTCAAAGGTATTTTCTTCAGTATATTTTCACTTCTCCTTCCACTGAGAAGGAGACCCAAAATGATACAACTTTTCTTATAAGATTGTTCCAAATACTGGAAATAGTAGCATAGTTCCTGGCTATTCATAGCTGTTCACTAGAGGTTAGCTCCCTTAAATTGTGGAAGCATTATAGAGTCGGGCAGGTAATATATTTTTCTACAGTCAACCATGTTTCGTATATACATTGTGTAAGTGTCCTTCATTAGTAGGCAACATGAAGTTAACCTTGCTAGCACAGAACTCTGCTTCCAAATTATCAATGAATAGGTAACTAGGTATGTGTGTGTGTATGCATGTGTGTGTGTAGGTGGGTGGGTGGAGTTCTGAGGGGAGGAAACTGGCTTTGAAATCAAATAGATCCCTATCTAATCATAATTTTCTGTGTGAAATTAGGAAATCATTACATTTCCCTGTCTTTAGTCTGCTCAACTATAAAAATGGGGATAATAACTATCTACCTTACTAAGTAACTGTGAAGATCAGAGATAAACTATGTAAAGTTTCTAACATAAAAAAAGGAATATGTCTGACTCTTATTGCTGGTATATCCTTTCATTTATTTGCTCATTCAAGGACTATTTATTGTGGGCCTGAGATGATAGGGACCTGAGAAACACCAGTGAACCAGATGGGTAAGGTATGGCATAGCTCAAAGAACATCCAGTAATTATAACAGAAACACTTAGCTGTTGCTCATATATCAGAAGCTGTTTTAAGACTTTTATCACATACTCCCTCACTGAGTTTTACACCAACCCAATGAAGAAGGTAGTTATTAAAGAGTCCAAAACTAATTAGTGTGGATCTGAATCCAGGCAACCCAGAATCTGTATTTTAACAGCTATGCTATATTGCCTTTCTAATTACCTAAATTGGGTTTTATGTTTCCACATAAATATAATAGATTCATATAATAAAATATATGTCTCCACATAAAATATATAGAATCCTTACATAAGTCTTATATCAATCCTGCCTATCAATAAGTAGGATAGGCAGCTATTTCCTTTAGAGAAGCACAGGCACAGACACAGTAAGTCAATCGAACTGGTGTACACATTGACTGGCCACTGGTGGCCACCCTGATAGTAATTACTCCCACACCCTCATCCCAACCACCATTTGCTTGGCTTCCAACTCAGCAGCTATTTTTTTTTTTAGCAACAACACTACAAAAAGTTGTGATTACATGTTTTTTATCTTATTTAACCCTGACTTCTTCATCAGCTGTAGCCATACTTTTCTAATTCCAATCAGTTCTCAGCTTTCAATGTCATAATCTTTTATGTTTGCTAAAGCTTTCTGTCAGGAAAGTCAAATAAGTATGTTTTATTCTTTTCTTTTCATAAAAATGTCCACATGACTGGATTAAGTAGCTTGCTGAATGTTTGAGAGGCAGCACTAAGGACATCTGACACAGGATCCTAAGTTCACTTGTTATGATATGGCAGACACCAGCCAGCTCTGGGTGCTTGGATGTAGCAATGCATCAACAGCCACTTGCTTTGAGAAATTCTTTAAATTTATGACAAAACAGCATTTGGACAGCATAAAAACAACAATACTGATTTAAGAAAACAAACCCCACCACTCTCTCCTAACTAATGGAGAATGATTACGACAAAAGGATACTTACTGGGGGGCATTGTGCAAGTTTGTCAGCTGCTACCAGTTGAACATTTAAGTGTTTACTTTGGGACTTTCCTCTAGATTTAATCAACCGTTGTAAAACCTGATGGAAGAAGAAAGGAGCCTCTGAGCTCTGGCAAGGACTTGAAAGAAAACCAAATAAACCAAGATCTTTTTCAGTCTATTTAGCCCTCAGTTCGAATAAAGAGGAAAGTAATGCAGCAAATCACACACACACACACACACACACACACACACTGTAATGACATCTTCCACTTAAGTTATAGAGCATTTGATATGTTCATCTTATGTGTGTCATGTGAGATCTTGGTGGGATCTTGTTCTCCTTAGATTTTACTCAGAGATATCAAAGAAAGCCCTATAAATGTGGGGTCTGCATCTGTACTAGGTCACATAAGTAATATTTTGGCACACTACCTCAAAAGGAGATCAATATTAGACTCGTTTATATTTTGGTCCTTTTGTCACTCATCGTTTTTGAAACATTTCATTTTAATTTTATAGAGTAACACAATTAATGACAGAAATTTAGGCATACATGATAGTGAGCTGGCATACTGCTACCTTGAAACCAGTGATATACATCTATGTCTTTAGGGGCACTGCGGTAGTATATTTTGTTATATAATCCTTCTTATCTTCTTTTTGTTAGTTGAAACCATGTCCTCACACCCAAAAATAGGATAGCTTATGAGCTAGTACTGACACCTCAACACATATGTATATGCCAATTTCAGATCCTGCACTTATGGATCATGTAGTGTCCAGGGCAGAGAATAAAAGGTATTAAAATCTATTCCTCCCCAACAAAGGGTTTTTGAATTCCCTTCAGTTATGGGTCAAAGAGATCTCCAGCTGGCCAAGGCCACTATGATGATGCCCAAAAGGTCTGCTTTGAGCAGAATTCTCACACTCATCATATGCAGAAGCAGTGCCTGGGGAATGGAAGGTGAGAGCAGCAGAAGGGTTGAGGAAAGGCACAATTTCTTCAGACATTCTCTCCTCCGAAGAGACTACTGCTCTAGTTGGAAACTGAATTGTCACTTCTGCACTAAAATGCACTCTTGAAAAGAAACTGATTATTAAGGTTGTACCTCCCAAGGGTATTGATTTTATATTCACGTTTTTATAAATATATTTTTTACATTATTCTTCATTTTGTATATTTTTTCATCTCAGTTGTAATCCCCGTGAACTTCCCACCATCACTTCACCCATGTGTCATTACATATCGGTTCATATTAACAGTCCCATGTGCTCTTCCCTCCCCATTATATTTACTTTTTAAAACAACATGGCTTTTTAAATGAAGTAACCCCACATCAAAGGGGACCATCTAACAGCTATCTCGCTTCTACACTAAAGTCCTGTGGTGGTGAAAATATGTTACATAAATGCCATTTTGCTTAATCAAGAATAACTATATTTTTGATGAATCCAACCAAATTGCAAATGTAAGGGTATATAACATTTCCCTCATAGATTTTATGCAGTGATATTTTTAATTTACATATGATAAATACAGATACCTCTCGAATGATGGTACTCTCTCAACGGGGGAGTACAGTTTCAAAAAGACATCTTCTTGTCCACTAATACAAAAGCACAGAACAAAGAGCATTTCAAAAGAAATGAGCTTCTAATACTTAAGACAGAAATAAGCTAATTACCTTTGGAGATGAGACTTTTACATGAACAATAATTGGAGCTAAAGACGTCTTTATGAGTTGTGCAGGGTGATTGATGGTGTCTGCATCAAGAACAACCAGTTGTAAAGATCTTGCCAATTCAAAGATTCTCTCAATCTCACTCTGTACTTCCGCTAAAAGGAGAAAATAATAGCAGGTAATAGTTATTTGTATTACTTAATTCTACTTAGTTTTTACTCATTATTTATTTTAATTAAATTATAATTAGTATATTTAAATAATAGCACTCTTTCAGACAGGTTTATCTACATTGCAAAAGAGAGTATTCTGAATTTTCATAGTCCTGTCTGTCTTAAACTCTTTTTTTGAATAGAGATGTGTTAAATTTTGCATAAAACCTAAAAATTAATGGGAACAACTGAAATTTTCTTTTTAATTTACTTCTTACACTCACTCTGATATTGAGCTACTTATATAGCTATGTAGTTTTTGACTTTTTTTCTTAGGAAATTTTATTTTATCTTAAAAGTTGAAAACACATTTAGGAAACAACTGAAAACTATGGACAAAGCAATATCACATGGAAAATAAGTCACAAGATATCATTTTTATCAATCAACAACTTATTAACATTTTATAGATGCATATTTTTAAAATCCCACAATTCATCTGTTTTACCTAGTATACACATTCTTATATAATTGGTTAAACATTCTGTGTCTACTCTTACAACTAGAATATTTGTAAGTCCTAATTCAAGTATTAGGATCAGTGAACTTTTACAAGGCATAATAATTTTCAATATTAAAAAAAATCAAACTAAAACAAATTATACTAAAATGATGCAATACATCTAGATGCAACTCTTTGGCTGGCAGCAACAGTCAAGTGACTTGTATTTGTACATGAATCTGGTCAAATAAAAAATATGGTCATTTTCAAATAGCTAGTTATTGCTGCAGCAATCCAGCTTTTTAAAAAGCAATGTAGATTATCTCAAAATGCATAGTATGACTTTGTGAAATATAAAAAATTAATACACTTTCTCAAATCACCTGATTTATTGGCTTAGGTCTAAAAATCTGAGTTAGACTAATTTTTGAAAAGATAATTTTGATTTGTTTTTATTTATTTTTATTTTTTGGTTATAGGTGTGACCTAATGTTATAGTGTCATCCAAATTACAAAGTAAACAAAGCTATGTGATATAAATTATTTCAAGGAAGGCCTAGAAAAAAGATGATACAGCTCTAAGTATTCTAACTAAAAAAGATTTTTGCCAGAATCCCATAAATTGTTTTACCCATTGTAAATTCAAGTTCACAGGACCCATCAAAAAATTCTCCCCTCTGGAACAAAAGGGATTGAAAAGTTGTGTCAGATGAATATTCAAGACTATCATGTGAATATTTCTCATATTTTACAAAATTACCTACAATTCTTCTTACCCAAATCACTAAAGTTTCATGTATAATCTGTAATTGGAGTATGACTTAAAAATTAAAATATCTATTTTTTCATATTGTCTAATATTAAAGGACTGAAGTTTTTTGTGTTGTTTTAAAAGGCAACTAACTTGCAAAGTAACAATGTGAAGAATTTGGAAAATTAGGCTTATTTGAAAAAATTCTGAAATCACATTTGTTAGTAATAATGACATACTTCCTTTTTTCTTAAAGAAAAAGAGAATGGTTTCTCTTAAGAAACATGTTTGTACAATAAATCTTATTTTTACTGTTGCAAATTTCTGCCTCAGACTGTTGGTGTAAGCTCTCCATTTGTTATTTTCATGAATTATCTAGTGGTAAGGGAACTCCTGACCAGCATTGTGATAGAACAAGTCTATGTTGTTTCAAGCTTCATGTCTGAATAGGATGTTTTCTGATGTAGCAAAAAGGCAGAGGCAGCAACTGGAATGTCCTAGTACAAAGAGCCCTTTAGGCTCCCTGAGTCACTTATGTAAATAACTCAGAAATACCTGGCTCTTAATTACACTGCAAGCATTGAGGTAAATGTGGTTTTTACAGGCACAGAGAGCAGACACACCTACTGCTTAACCATTAAAATACTCTTGGGCATGGGTGCCCTAATAAGGGTCAGAACAAGCCAGCAGGCTGTAGAAGGCCACCTTATACACTGGGGTGGGCCTAATATTGGATAATATTTGTATAGAATACAGTAGACAAATTATAGGTGAGGTAGAAAACAATCATATTTATCTAGGTAACTCGCTTTCTTAAAGAATAACTTTAATTAAACCCAAAAATCTTTACTAGTCATGTTTATATTTAGAAGGTACCCAATGGAGTTTTCATCATGATTTTATTCCAGACAAATGGAGATCTGAGAAGTCATGGATTATGATGCAAGAGGGACCTCAATGACCACTGCTTGACCATGACTGATCTGGATCCACTTTTCTCTAGCACTCTGTCACCATGATCTTCCTGATATCCAGTTGTTTAAGCTACTTCAATGTACCCATGAAACATCCTATGGGAAGTAGGGGTATATGTCAGGGAAATATTATGTAATATAATAGATTTTCTTGGAATTTCATATGCATGTTACTCTTTGTACCTCAAGGACTCTAAGAAGTTTTGCAGTAAAGAAACTTGCCAACTGTAAATCTGTAATTTTCAAGTTAAATTGACATAGGAAAAAAATTAGATGTATCAATCATTAGTAGCTTCTAAAAGTAACATTTTATGGATTCTATTTCAGAGATCTCTTTAGCAAGGTACACTAGGCCCCCAATATACTTTCAGCTGCTCTTTCAATCTCCTATAGCACTCAAGCCATGGTTCCCATTTTCTTTACTTAGAATGTTATACAAAAACTATTTGTTCTTGTCAAAGATTATTTTTTTAAGATTTATATATTTATGCATACAGAAATGGGGTACAAGCCAGAAGTGCAGGGCCAGTGAGAGAATTCACCAGAGACAGAGTGGGGAGCAGAACAGGCAGATTGAAGAAGTACACTGCTGAGGGGAGCAGCAGGCGGGTCAGGAGAGGTCTGCCGCGCCATGTGGGCCACCTCTGGGGCCAGGGATCAAACTTGCACTGTAGTGGCTGCGGGCAGCTTGCATATGCTGTGTCCTTACCTGTTGCATCACCAGGGAGGGCCCAACAAAGATTTTTTTTTTTAATATGTTAACATCTTTGTACATTCTTATCTATTTTGAAGAATGAGCTCAAATATAACTTATGTGAAATCTTCTCAGATTCCTCTTACTTTCTATCCTTCTTTACACCCTTAGCTCTTTGCTTATAATTTCATTGTCTTGAAGTATTTTTAACTGTTCCTTCTTTCTGCTTGCTCATGGGTAAGCTACTTTAACTGTACTTGTACACTTCTTAAGTCAGCTTAACCCATGACACATAAAAAATGTCAGTAAACACTTGAAGAATATGCAAGTGTATATTAGCATGTAAAGAACTGCCATAAGAGGCTCACACAATGGTTTATATAAATTGCTATTAAATATACTCTAATAGTTATGGTCATACGACTTTAAAAAGTAAACGGGAAAACCAGTAAGTTGACCTTGTTTATTAACTCAATATTTACACTAACTCTACTCACTCCACTGACTCTAACAACAGGTGGCTAGATGACATGAAATGACTTTAAAGAATAATCACAAACCCTTGGCTGGTACAGAGGGTTAATGTAGTCAAGTAACCAAGTTTATACTTTTAAGTATCTTTAAACCTCTCATTATACATCAGAAGAAGAGTGGTTAAAAGTCAGTCCGCCAGTTCTGCTCTCCACTCTGCCTCTGGTGGAGCTTCTCACCCCCCACTCCTCTGGCCTGTACCCCATTCTTGTATTCATAAATAAATCTTTTTTTAAAAAGTCAAAGACACTGTACAGAATGAAAAGAGTGGAAGGCAGCAGAGAACAGGTGCTTGTTTATTAGATTTTCAATCTAATTTGGCATCCTTGTCATTCATCACAGTTGACTTCAGTTACCTAATCTGACTATTGTTAACTGTGCCTTCGTTATCTCCTCAATGACAAAATGCTATGTTTTTTTTTTAAGATTTATTTATTTATGCATACAGAACTGAGGTGCAGGCCAGCGGTGCAGGGGCAGCGAGAGGATTAACCAGAAACAGAGTGGGGAGCAGAACAGGCAGATGGAGGAAGTACACTACTGAGGGGAGCAACGGGTGGGTCACACCATGTAGATCACCTCTGGGTTGGGGTATCAAACTCACACTGAAGCAGCTGCAGCTAGCTTGCGGTGCTGCGCTCTAACCCATTGCGCCACCAGGGAGGGCCCAAAATGCTATGCTTTTAAGAGTGGTGTGAAGCTCTAAATATAGGACTAAAGAAGAAACCAGTGATGTCTGGGACATTGCCCACACAAGTGCTGACAACTATTCCAATTGGTATGTTTAGCATATTCTTACATAGTAACTATCCAACACGATGCCAGTGTTTGCCAGAATATCAAGGTCATACTGTGTAGCCTCTTTTCAACCTGGACAATTATTGGTTCAGGGTCAAAGCAAAGCCTTCAACAGATTCTTGATGGGATGTTTGGCACTCTACCTTGGAGATCCTGCATTTTTCTTTAAGATTTCTATCATCTATATAGCTCAACTGGGTACTTTAAAAAATGTAGTGACATAGAAAAGCTTGATCTTTCTGAGTTGTTCTCAGTATGTGAATGAGAAAAAAAAAGATAAGTGAGTTACACCACTCTGGGCAATCACAGAAACCACAAATAGGCTTTTGAGATGAAGGCTGTAATTCATCAGAAACATGGATTTCCTTCTGTAGTTGGAGATTCAGTCTTTCACCACCTTGCTTTTACAGACTCGATGAAGCTAACCACATATGTTGATTTTTGTCTTCTCCAGGATGGTGAACTTCAGGATGCTTTCTGACTTGTGCTCCAGAAAAGACATGTTTAAACTCCCTGCATGTTATTAATGGTATTGCAATTTCCACTTGCAGATCTGACTATACTACCAGCAAACAGCAGAAGCAACACTAAGAACACTGTGATCTAGCTTTCTTCTAAAGGTCTGAGAAGGTAAAACATCTCCTTTTCAATCTAATTTGGCATCCTTGTCACTCATGACAGTTGACTTCGTGCAATCTTTCATGCCAGCAGTGACTCAGGTATGACAGGTATCACTGGCCTCAATGAGAAGCATGGGAAAAGTGGACATGAGTTGTTTCACATAGCTAGCCAGTAGCAGACTAGGAAGACATGTCGAGGATTGTCCCTACCAGCCTACTCATTAGCTAATTGACTAGAGCTGAGAGAGAGGAGGCTCTGGCTGCTGCAGGACTCTGATCCCATCTTCCTCTATGACTGTCATTCTCCTCAGTTAATCAGCATTTCCCCATTTAGAAGGGAGATCAAAATGGAAATGACATTCAAACAACATGTATCATCCCTGTCTGAAAGCGCAACTGAAAGAAGTATCACAGTTGAACCTCTTACCTAAACTGGACCGAGTGTTCGAACGTTCAATTATTGCTCTCTTGCTGGGATTATTTAGGACAGACCTCTTAGCAAGAGAAATGTCAGCTGTCACTCTCGTTATCGATATCCTAGGAATAGGAACACAGAACAGAACAAGAAGCCAGTAAAAATGTTACAGTTCTCTCCAAGTGATTTGTAACCACAGTACTTAATAACCACTTTACATACTACAGTGTGACCACAATATAATAAACATTGGCCACAAGTATAAACAGACTTTGGCTAGTGTTAAAATACAAGCAGAGCAGGATGGAAGAAGGGTTTGGCAATTTAACAAAAACAACTGCAGTAAAAAATGCAGCTCCTTTTCCACTATCATCTGTCTTGCTGAATTCTTTTTTTTTAACACACACCATTCTAGAAGGGAATCAAAATATATGAGTAAACCATGCTCTTTCTAGGAAGCAGCAATATAAATTCCCCATACTTCACACATGACTTGCTCTTGACCAAGCTTCAGGACCTGCAAATACTCTGCCTGGGCACCTCAGTGTGGGGGTAAAGAGGAGAAATCCTCTTCATTTTGACCATCAAAGACAATCAACCAATTGGTAGCAATATTGCATTCCTGTGCTATTGTTAATATTGTTAATTCATGATACGTAAAGCACTCTTCCATAGGCCCAAAGGATTGTTTCATTTCTAAGAATATAAAAAATATGGTTTCTTTTTTACAGGCACAAGACTCTTCAGCATATTTGGATATAATTGTGACTGTATATGGTGGGAGTCATAAGACACTATGATTGAGGGCAATAGCAGCACTGTGCAAGATTTTGAGGTTAGAAAGTATCCTATAACCAAGCAAGAGAATAGGATGAAGACATCACCCACAAATGGAGAGAGGGTTCTATTTGCATGTGATTCATCAAATGAGTCTCTGGAATTCACAATTTTAAAGTTACTAATTTTAAAATGGAATTGCTTAACTTCAGATTACTATCTACCTGTAGAAAGCAAAGAATCCCTCTCTAAGCCATTTTTTACCACCATGGAATTTTCTCCACTCTTATCTTCAGAGCTTGGCAGAGTTCCAGAGAGAAGACAAGGAGAGCAGCACCTCTTACCTTCTATACTCAATGCGCCCATCCACCTCCATTTCAAGCTTCTTTGGGAAGAGGGTAGAGTTATTAACAGCTATTGAGTTATATGTCATTTCACACCTCTTTGGGGCAACACTGTCAGCACTCTCAGGAGACTTCACCAGATTTCAGTGGCCTGAAGCCTTGGGGAGATTTGAATAGTCCTTTTCACAATGGTTGGAAATTACTTCTTTAAAACAACAGGCTGTGTAAAAGTTCAATGCCATGTTAAAACTAACTACTCCTTGCTTGTTCACTGTGTTGTAATTATAAGCTGTAGATGGTCGTGAAGAAATATGGGAACCTAATAAATTAGTTTATGTTGATCTTCCCAAACTTTCTTTTTCAGAAATCAAGAGTTTCAAGAAATACCTATGAGACCACTGAGGGCAGTGAAAGGGGCTGAGTCAGCAGGATTTTCATTTCCTGTTCTTGGTGCCAGGACACACCTCTGCATTTCTGTTTCTATATTGGGGCTTTAGAGATTATCTTATTGTGAAAAGTGGTTCAACTGCTAAAAAGACCTTGAAAACACTGGTTTAATACAACTTCGTCATTTTACCAAGAAGAAAACTGAGACTCAGAGAGTTCCACATGGTTAGTGAGGGGTTAAGAAAGTCAGTACACAGGCTCATGAGCACCAGGCAAGGATTTGACTCACAGTTCTCTCACAGTTTGTTTTCTTCTTCAGAAACCCTAACTATCCAGACAAGATATCCAGTGCACAGGCAGTGGTTGGTCTTGTCCACATGCATTTGATAATCAGGACTTAAATTAGGTTAATGTCCGGTGAACTACAAATCTGAGTCTTCATCATTCAATGGGCTGCTACAATAAGGCATAAACTCTTACAGGCAGTCCTTGGGGTCAAAACACTCTTTATTTACAGAATAGAGTTTGCTTATTTTGTATTTGTGTTTCTAGCTTGTTTGTATTTTCAGAATGGAGTTGTTAGATAGAAACAAACAGTCAAGTTTTAGAGCAATTCAACTATATGTCTGGAGAGAAGATTGGATTAGGGACAGAATTTGACTTTCTGGAATAACTTTTGTAGGGGTCAAAGATTCTATTCTTTTTAAGTGGAAATAAAAATTTCCAGTTCTATACAAGTCAATAGTAACCTTTGCTGCTTACAATTGGAAGAGATTATTAATGGAGGCACACTCTTATTTTTGAGTTATAAGCATACTTTATGATTTGTAAATACATCCAAAGTTTAAAAAAAAAATAGAACAACTAAATCAGAAAAAAAAAAGCTTTATCTATTTCAAAAACAGAAGAAGATGTGTGGACAATAAACATTCTTTTCCTGTTTTATGTGTTAATGAAATACATTTTGCTATTATAAGGTATATCAGAGGGAGGTCATGAGAAAAGACAGCCCAAGAAACCCTTCAATAAGACAAAAGAATTTCTATTCCTATGAAAAAAAAAATTCCTATTATTATCAAAATCAGATACCAACTCCAAACCTTTTTTGAAAAATGACTTCTCAGCAATGTAATTACACTCATCATTGAATGCTGTCTAGTTTAAATACTTTTTTTACTTCAAGTAATAACGTTTCTACTTCTTTACTTGCTATACTTACACCCTTTGGTGTCTTTCAGACTTCTGTGCATCTTGTCTGGTAAAGGTCACTATAAAGATCCTTGGGAAATATTCCTGTGACACAGTGTCAGTGCACTCGAGCATTGCTTAACAATGGTCTGGTCTAGGACAGGACTCATATAAGACTGATCCTACTTAGCCACACAATATAGAGAAACGTAGCTATCTAGGTTTATGTAGTTACACTCTATGATGTCTGCACAACAGCAAAAACACCTAAGAATGCATTTCTCAGAATGCATCTCTATTTCAGTAATTGACAGAAATTATTGGTAAGCTCATAAAAGACCAGCAGAAGTTCAGTGCCCCAGTGACTAGTTATTGTAAAATATATCACTGAAAACTAGCAAAAATCATTCTCTAAATCTAGTGAATCTGAACTCCAACTGTTGCTACTTTTGTTTTAGAATTCATCATAAAATTGTTGCAATCCATCATGAGCTAGGATTAATAGTTTTCTCTGATTTTCTGTACAAAGATAACATGTTCAATGATGACTTGACATATTCACAACAAAATTATTAGCATGTCCATGCCGCTAACGGAACAGCTCTAAGATCCTTCCTTACATTATCTTTGATGTAACTGATAATGCAGCACATTAATTTAAAAATTCCTAATATTCATACAGAAAAAAATGTTCCATAGAATAGCGTAATAATGCACTGTGAAGAGAACAGAGATAGAGTGTATACATAGATGTGAAGATTTTTCCTGAATCTTTCTCATGCTGGTTGTCTGACCATAGGCAAGACACCATTCTTTGAGACTCAGTATCCTAACAATAAAACAGTGACAGTAGCTTTGCCAAACTATCTCACTGAGCTGTTATTAGGAGCAATAAGGGAACAAATAAAAAATACTTTTTAAAATAGTTAATCATAGTTTTCTGGGTTCATAAGCCCATATATAATGTATACAATATATCTTTTGGAAATTTGAAGACTTGAACAAGTCAGTTTCTTTGTATCTCTCAGAAGTTGGCAGTCTATCAAGAACTCTCTCACCCCCAGAGTCCATAAAACTTATATAACTTCTAAAGTGGACTGATAAGGTCAGATGCACTATTATCAGCCTCCTCATTCAAATATTCATACTTGACATTAACGCATTCATTATCTCTAGTATTTGAGTGCCCACTTATTAAGTTTGCCTTCGAATAGAGGATAGTAAAAGAAGATGGTAAGAAAATAGTATCGATAATGAAAAGAAGGTGCTATATTGTTTTTCCATTAATTGAAACAACAAGTTGTTTTTATTACTGCAGAGTTTGGCTGATTTGTGATAGCATTCATTTTTTTCTCATTTCCTTTTACCCATAAGTAAAATCTCTTTGAGTCTCCCTAAGTTGTATTCTCATCTTCTTTTGTTCAAAAATTTTTTTCTAAGCCTTTCTTTTTTTTAAATTATTCCCTGGCTAGTGTCTCCTTCTAGCTTCACATCCTGTCTATAAAAGCTACATAATGTTCATTTTAGGATTTCTGGCCATGTTCATGTCATTTACAAGGTGTCTGATAACTACCATACAGCTGATCTGATACCCAAAGCCTAAAGTAACAATTTTGTTCACATTTGAAATGATTATTCTATCTCAACAAATTGCACTTGGTACGAATTTTGGTCTGAATGCTTGCTAATAAGTCTATGAGTGATAGATTCAACCAACAAAACAAACTTCACCTGAAAGGATGATTCTTAATGAATATTTGTGGTATGAAGTGAAGATTATAAAGTTCGATACCATCTGCATTCACTCTGTCCTGCGAGGCTGGCGCCAACAAGGCTTCTTGTTAGGCTTACTTAGTATATGCCCACTTGCTGCAAAAAACCCTTCACATACATATATTCATATTCACAGAGGGCCCTCAGAAACTATGTAATATGATGCCTTTTGTTTTACTTACATGCATTATAGTTGGGTTCTATAATAGGAATTATAGCAATAAACATGCATGATAATTAGCTCTGAAGTGACTCAAATAATTTCTAAGGTATATTAAAAAAAAAACAAAAAGTAAATGATTCTGAACTAGTCAAGCTTTTAAACTTTAATACAATTTATTGAAATATTTGTTAACCAAGGTGTGAAAAACAGCATGGAAGAAGAAAACCTCTTCACCAAACGATCCCTTTTTGGCTCTTTCCAAAAATATAAAAATAAAAAGGCTTTCTCCTGACTATTTTATCTAATCTACTGTATTCAGTCAATGAAACACTGAGTAGGTTTCCATTAGAACATATTGTCTATGCTGTATCACTGTGCTAAAGCCTTCTGTGTAATTGTTCCCTTGGCTGGTTTCAATTAAAGACTTTTTGAGGTTTTCTCTCCTTTTATTAATTGGTAAAACACAACATAGCAGATTGTCACAGCTCAAAATGTAAGGCTATTCCCCACACAGTAGACATGTGAGTCAGTGCAAAACTATAAGCAAATTTCTTTTTCTTTATCAAAGTATCCATATACTGAACCAATGAATTCATTATTGCTTTTTCTGCTGAACTTGAATCTTTTCATTTGGAGCAAGTCCATCTCCTACTCCCATCTTTAATATCTATCTTACTCTAACTCAGTTCTCCCTGGGGCTGAGTCTTTTTCTCTATCTATTACCTTTCTGCTGCCCTAATTCTTCCAGATCTTCATCTGTGTCATTAGACCCCTTGAAATACTTGGCATAGAAATTTTAATTCTATTTATATCATCTTTAACAGTGTATAAGTGCTTGATGCAGATAACTCTACTAGCCCCAGGATTTAATTAAATGCATTTCCTTTTCTGGTCCTCAGGATTAAAGAACCCAGATTTTCATTCCTGAAGGCAATAATTAAGTTACTCACTTTCTCTTTACTAAATTACAGCTTCTTTCTTCTTTCTATAGGTGCTACCTTTCAAACCTTTAATTACATTGTCATTTATTAAGGATGCTCTGTGGAGATCAACTAATCTAACAAAATTGAGGCTGTGTTATGGTATGGGATTTGTTCAGTTTGGGAGTTGTTAAGAGGTGACAAAATAGATATTGCTCAGAACTTCCTTACAATAGGTTAACACTATGTGGCTTCAAACATAGCTGAAGGGTGTGTGTGTTTGTGTGTGTGTGTGTGTGTGTGTGTGTGTGTGTGTGTGCGTGTGAGAGAGAGAGAGAGAGAGAGAGAGGGGGAGAGAGAGAGAGAGAGAGAGAGAGAGAGAGAGAGAGAGAGAGAGAGAGAGAGAGAGAGAGAGAGAGAGAGACCAAGGACACAGGAAACCGAGCCATGCACATTAGCTGCCTCCAATCCATGGAGACATGCGTGATGGCAAAGCATTGTTTCTGGGTCATCAGAGGACAAGAACATGACCAACACTATTAAGTTAAAGACACATAGCTTAGTTGTTTGTAATGTGTTTTTAGGAAGTAAATTCCCAATTGCCAGTTTCCAAACAGAACTTGGTTATCTCTGATCTGTGGCTGTTGGAAAAATGTTATATTTCCTTCCAACTTCCATATTCCAGTATCCAGTGGTTTTCACTTTTCTTTTAAGTGACTTCACTGCCCATCTTTCTTAAAATAAGAAAGGGATAGGATAAAACCATGGCTTTCTTATTTAGCACTTCGTGTCCACTAGAAGAATGTGGCAGTGATTATTTGTTAAACAAAATCTATTTCCTTTTCCCCCTGGACACATGGCTAGACTACTGCCCAGCCTCTTTGCAATTAGGTGTAGCCATGAGAACAATTTCTAAGCAGTGAAATGTGAGAATCAATGTGTGCCTTGTCAGTGTGGTATTATCCTGTCCTACCTTCACGCTGAAGGACCCATCCCCTCCCATCTGAGGAACACCCATGTTACACAGTTAAACGAGAAACAACTCACTTCCACTGTGTTTGAATCATTATACATTTTAAAAGTTTGTTTTTAAGGCCACCTAGCCTATACTGATACTAATGTACTTAACAATTTTCAAGTGATGCTGAAGCAATCTGAGTCATAAAATAAAATCTTAATTATTAGAGCTAAAATATCAGTTGATCTTCTTTGTAAAATAGTCCCAGAAATTAATGAATATTTTAACACTATATCCAACAGATTCTTCTTTTGAGAAATATATACAATTTGAACTTAATCAGGTTCATTTTCTTCTTAATATGCTGTTTATTAAAATCTATTTGAAGATATTTAACAATATTTTTTAAAAAATACCTTCAAATACTTAAATATTTGGTAAGTTGGATGTACTCACCCATGCTTCTCAGTACATAATATTTATGTTTTCTTCATTTCTAAAAAGGTTTCAGGTTTTTGCATGTTATTATTTTTATATAGAGAGTATTATGCATTGTGAAAGAGCTGAATACTGAATATTGAGTCAAATGGATTTTTTAGCATTTTTCTACAAGATGCAGAAATTCATTTTTTTTTACAAACTGATTAATGAAACTATTTGATGGCCAATAACAGAGCCATTCTGATAATGGGCCATGATAGAATACATATAAAATAACAAAGTATTTCCTAATTGAAAAAGAAACCCAATACTAAACATCCAAACAACTATTATTCCCTACAAAATAGTTACTTAGGGAGACTTTTCTTGCACTCTTTGGGAAAATATTACTTATACTCTTGAGGAAATTCAGTACTTTATTATGTATAGTTCTATTATACACACACACACTCTTCTCTCTCATAGTTGCTATTACCCAGTTGCTATTACTGTAGCTCTTTATCAGCTATAGCTTATATATTTTTTTATTCTAATAGCTTATTTTCACATCATTTCGTGCCTTTTTCCATCTCGGTTGGAATCCCTGCGGACTTGCCATCACCAGTTCACCCGTGTGCCATCACCATACTCCTGTGCACTCCCCCTGTTTATATTTTAATATAATATGGTATGAATTTACTAACATGTGAAAAAATAAAGTCAAACATTTCAATTAAACAAATAGATTCTTTTCCTCCTTAAAGCCCCTTTTCTTTTGGAGATTCAATACTACACTTCATAACATCTTATATTCAAGGTTTTCACACTATACTCTTCCCAGGTAGAGAATTTTTGCAGTCATTAGAAAGAGAACCACACATCAGTTTATCACACGTTTGGTTAAAGGAAAAAAAAGACAAAAACATCTATATATGTCTCACCTCCCATCAAACCTGTGCTTCAGGAAATCAAAGAGGGCTTTCTGCATCATGTCTGTAACCTTCACAGAGGTGAGAAAAAAAGAATGAGGCAAACACACGCAGAGAGAAAGAAAGAAGTCAAAAGTGAGAGAGGTGGAAGGAAGGGGCGCTGTGCTGAGCAAAGACCTTATCACAGCCAATCTTCTCCAAGGGGTAGGGTAGAAATAGTGGAAGGTGTTTTCATACTTAACCATTCAGAGTTGCTAAGTTCCCCTCCATGTTTCTCTCCCAGGGTGTTGTGGAGTGAGTGAGCAGTGTTCACTAGACCCAGGGCACCTTCTTCTCTCATAAGGGGCTAACAGAACAGACTAGGCTGGCTTCATGTGCAGATGCTGCCTGCTCTTGGCATGCCCGGCTGTGCTTGGCCCCAGCAAGGGGCAGATGGAGACTCAGGCCAGACCTAGGTTCAGCTGTCCTGTTATTCTATATATGTGGACATTCTCTAGGCACAGAGCTGGATTTCTGTGGCCCATTCTGTAGGTCTGTTGACGTTCAACCATGAGAGGAGGGGGAAGGGAGAAGAGGGGTGAGGGGGCAAGGAAATGGAAGAGGGAAGGAGACAGGTGAGTGGGAATCTTAGAGAGTCATCAGTTCATTTAACATGTGTTCTGAGAGCCTTCGATGTGTTGACATTGTGTAGCATAGTGGGAGAGGTGCCCTGAGGTTGCTACCTTCAGCTTTTAATGTCCCATCCCACTTTTTCTGACCTAAATTCACAGTCAAAAAAGCAACATCTGAAATCTAAGTCTTTACTCTTTTCCTTCTCCTATAGTAGTATTTAATCTCTAGGAAATTCAGTAATATTTTCGTTGGAGTTTTGCCACCCATGCCTGCAACTCGCCACCCTTCTTAAAGCCTTTAAAATAAGTGGAGAATTACTGGGTGGAATAAGCTGTGTCTTGAGCACAAAGCAAGGTCAGATTGTTGGTGCTTTGAGGATGTAGGTTTGCTGACAGAGTGCTATGTGCTCCCTTGTGCTGCTCATACTTGATTATTTCTAATAATCACAGGAGCACTTGAAAGAGATTAGGTTTTTTTCTTAATACAGACCAAACTTTTGATCACAACCCATTACCAATGTTTTGAGGGGGATTTTTTCCGAACAGCGTTACGTATAAAGGACTTTATGAGAGGGAAGAAAACACAGGCCATTCCCTGCCCTCCCCAACCCCTCCCACCCCAACCACCTTACTAGCTGAGGGTTGGCTCCACTTGCTCCTGTATGTAAACAGGCCCTGAAGGAGCAAACCCCAGGAGGCTGTCTCCCAGGTTCTCAACCAAGACTGAAGCATAACAGTGCGATATTTGTACCTCATAACCCTTCAGTGACGGCCCCACTAAGACCACCGGACGCATGGATGGCACAACATCGTAAGGAGGGATGTGCTCCGTCTGAAAGAGATGGTTCAACATGTGTGACAGAGAATAAGTGCGCCTCCTCCAAAGCCACCGCATTCGTGATTCTCACGTCAAATGAGGAACGATTACCACAGGTCCCCACCAAGGCTCATCCCTTATTGCGTCACTGAAATGGAGCATTGCAGGCAAGTATGGACAGGAACCTTAATGATAGATTTAAAAAGGAAACACAACTTACCACTTTTTGCTTCTGTTTTGCTAAAAGACAACAATGAAAGCCATATCAAAATATGTAATCTTTGTAAATGATAGTACATGATTTTAAAAGATGGAAGACTGTACTAATTTGTCCCTGCAATTCTTGTTATCACCCACTCTGTGAAGTACTACTCTATTATTCCATCCCAAACAAGCCAATTTTGAAGACATATGAAAAAATTAAACCACTTCCTTCCTGCACAAATGACTAACACTCTGATTTCATGCTGGGCAGGAAGGGTGGCAGGGATTCATAACAGTATAGGGAGTTCTGGGCCAGCTGGGAATCTTGGATTATCCCCCTGATGGACAAAACATACATAGTAGCTGAGAACAAGTCGAGTAGATAAAATTTGATGAAAGGAAACTTGGAACAGCAACTTGAGCAGACATAGTAATCACCTCTATCACTTGTGATTTTGGAGAATCATGAAAAAATTTTGCAATTTTTTGTGTGTTCTTAAGTCTTTTTGTCCATTTTCCAGATTATGCATATATTTCCCTACTATTGTTACTATTAATTTCAAATAGGTTTATAACCAGTTATCTCCACTCTTTCCTATTTGCAATAATGAAAATGAGAATGTGCTAAATGTTTAATGAATAAAGACGAGGCAAAATATACTCAATATCTGATGAAAGTAGTATTGTTGTCATCCAAGTAGGCCCAGTCCATTTAGAGGTAATCCAGACATTCTGGGTTACCATTTAGAGGCAACTCCAGAATTCTGGAGATCAGGAAGGATTCACAAAAACCAGTAACCAAACACTCAGAACTATCCCAGAACCAACCAAGTATCTTGCAATTACGGTAGGCTACAAGAAATTGTTGGACTTGTCATTCTGAATTGGTAAGACTAGATAAATGAAATTAGCCTGTAGGAGTTAGGGAATGTGAGAAGAAAAGTTCCCACTTGAATATCTCCATAACTTCCAAATGTACAACTCTCCATAATGTCCTTTCATTACCATTAACTCCAAGGCTCAGTTGTCTTCTATATAAAAGAAATGAAGTCATCTGGGCCCAACCTCATTTCCTGCTTTAGCCACCCACTTTTCATAGCCCAGGCAACACCAACACATCCTAAAGTTTCACATAGAGACTGGAACAGAGCATATTCTTGAGCATCTATACCTTTTATTTTTCTTTTTAATATACTTTCTACATGCTAAAGTCTGTTGAGTTCTTGGGAGGAATAATGAACTTGCATTGAACACAATGGACAATGACTGCCTCTGGGGATAAGTAAGATTTTTTTTTTAATTATAAATATCTGAATTTTTAGGCCATAAGTAAATCAAATCACTATAGAAACCAAATGAGCAATGGAATGCCTGTAGGAAAATATTTAAGCCAAGTTTTGAATTATCTGCAAATTAGTAAAAATTCTTGTATTCATGTTCAATTACTAAGAAAGGAATGCATTCCTTAAAAATTTAACTAAAATCCTCACCTGTTGATGTGGGTGTTGCTCGAAATGTCCCTGATACCATTTCTCCAAGACTTGAAGAGGAATTTCCACTGGATTTCCTAGGTTATAGGAAAGAAACTTAAGACTCATTCCCCAGACTCCTTGAAAATAGAACTGAAGAGTACAAAGCTTTCTTTGGCTTTTATCCTACTAAATAACTTAACATACAATAGACCCTGCAATAAAGAAGAACTTCAAGAATCTATCCAAATGTTTTCTTTCTTAGATATTCCTAAAATATCTCTCCTAGTTATTCAGTGCAGAAATGAGGCAAATGAACCACTGTCAGAAATGTTTTTTATGAACTGCTCCGTTAACTAGCACTAGACAGAAGTCAACACAGCTCAAATCAGGCAGCATAGCTGGAAGAAGCATTTCTTCTTAAAAGTGATTACGTGGAAGTCAGAAATAAGAAGGGGCAGTAAGTGTCTTGTCACAAGTGCTGTGTATGGAATGGAAGATTACTAGTATCTGGCTGCAGCCCACCAGCACTAGGATCCCATGGGGTCCTCAGAGATGACATTCCTACCGCTCCAGTATTCCTCCCTTTCAATGGTAGGAACAAAATCTGATTTCTCACTTTTGCTTTGTTACTTACTATTTGTGGAGCTTTGATACATCCAATTATGTCTTTGAGTCTTAGTTTCCCCATTTATGAAAGGAGAAGCTGTACCTCACAGGGTTGGTATAAAGACAAAAATAAGATTTATGTGTATGAGCGCTTGGCTTTGCACTTGTGCCTGCTTCTAGGTAAATATTTAGTTCAAAAGTGTTTAATACTATTCTGGAACAATAATAACGATAGCAATAAAATAATAACTTTAGAAATGTTAACTCACTGGTTATTTCACTCAACAAAAATTTACTTAATGCCCATTGTTTTAACTGTCAGGAATGCAACAGTGAGGGTGAAAAGGAATGAAACACCTTCCTTTTTAGTAACAGAGTCTAGTGGGAGATATCTGTAGCAAACAAGATGAATAGCTTTTATATAGTATTCTGATGGCAATAATTGCAATGAGAAAACTGTCAGGGGGAGAGGTAGGAAGTAAGGAAAGGGAAATGGGCACAGTTTTAATTTGTGTACCAAGAAAGAGGTCACTAAAAAGGTGATATTTAACAAAGATCTACAGCAGACGAAGGAGGGATCAGGTAGAAATGTGAACGACAAATTCCCAGTAAGAGGAGACACAAGTGCAAAGGCCCTGGGGCAGGAACATGTGTTCCTGATGTGCTCAGGGCGCAGCAAGGGAAACAAAAAGGTTTAGAGAAGAGGAAAAAAGGGGATTAATAATAATAGTTCAGGTAGGCCATATAAATTTAAAATATGGACAACTATAAGTGGGGATAACTATTTTCGAGATCTCCTATTAATATTTAAGAGGATCCAATTATGACAAAGGCAAAAGAGTCCCTAAAGAACAGAGGAGGTTTTGAAACAGAAGAGGGTATGATAGAAATGTAAAGTTAAGAGTCAAGAGGAAGAACAGGTTTTTTAGGTTTTTGAAAACATAATTACACATCTCAAATCAAGATCTCATAATAGGCTCACAATATATGCCAGCTCAGTTGATTCTCATTTCTCATTGCTCAGACTTTGCTTGTATTCCTGAGACCTTTAGATAGCTGCACTCTAAGATCCATATGACTACTTAATTAGTTTACTAGAAATTGATTCATCTAGTCTACGTTCACACCATCACCAACAGATAGCAGATGCTATAAAAACCCACGGAGGGAGAAGGTCCTACTAGCATAGGGAATGACGTGCTCCATGGCATTGCAAGTTCAAAGTTAACCAGGAAGAACCCTGTTGGCAAGTGAGGTCAAGATCCCATGGGGAAAGGATGCCCTCTGACTCTCATGGAGGAATGCTTCAGTTCAAAGGAGCATTTGTTGAGGCTGCAGAAATGTCTACTACAGAGTTCATGTTGATGTCATAGGGGTGAGGTGCATGCAGTGGAGAGAACAAACAATCTGAAACCCCTCTGTCTCAATTTCAGAAACAACTTGTACACAAAGAAGCCCTTTACTTTAAAAGTTTATATTTTAAACTTTACAAGAAGCAAATCTGAAAGTATCACCTTATTTTCTTACTCTCCTCTTGCCCCCTCCCCCCCCCAAAAATTTATAGATTGGAAGGAGCCTTACCCTCCATGAAAACGTCCTCTTTTTTGTTCTTGTTGAATCCGTATGTTCTCCAATCTAAGAGGACTTGGGATGAAGCCAATCTCACAGCCTTCTTTCACTAGCCTTCCTATCCACCAATCATTGTTATATTTCTGGAATGCAGAAATAAAGCTCATTATCAGTAGTAATTCACTTATATTCTATTATCTAATTTCAAGGGACAAGGTGAATAAAACTCTATTCATCCTATATAGTAATATACTATATTATGTATCATACATTACACATAGAAATTACTTATACATATGCATTCATAGACTACAGCAGGGTTCTGTAAATTTTTTCTCTAAAATTTCAGATAGTAATACTTAGGATTTTAAACATACAAGTAAGCAAGAATGGCTCACTCATAATACACCTTTTCTTTACGATGAAGGCAGCAGCTACAGTCAGTTTGTGGGCTGCAGCTTGCCAATACATGGGCTAAAGTCAGGTCTTAACCTCAAATTCCTTCAGTCTTTCAAGAAGTCCTAGTTAATTCTTAAGGAATAGGCTTCATAAGAATCAATAAGTATCACTGTAATTGGAACTCTGGAAGACAAGATAAGCAAACCTGAGAAGAAATATATTCATTCATCTGTTATTTGTCAAAAGCTTTTATGTAAAGATTCCACAAGATTGTCTATAAGCAACTCTCACTGGGGAAGAATTAAAATACTCCAAGTTTAGGTTTGCAAATTAAGCTCCACCTCACTACCTGAAGAAACCTACCTCTGCAAAGGCTAAGCATATTATACATGGCCTGAAGTGCAACAAGAATGCTGTGACTTCCATTTAAATAAAGCACCATAGCATGCAAACATGAGAAACAAGTCCACATAAAGTCAGCCAAAATGTGGTGAGACTCCATCAGCGGGGTCCTATTTCAGCAAACCTGCATTTTAATTCGCAATCTACTGAATCAAGGCTAGATGGCATATTTATTACATGTCACTTGCCTCAAAAATGTTTCAGCTAGGTTGACTTCCAGAAAGCAGAGCTATCAGTCTGTTCACGTACTCCAGAGAGGATTTCAATAACTTCCATTCCTGTCTTTATTAGTGTTGGGGAAAATGACTCATTTATTCTTTGATTTAAGGAATATATCTATTTTTTTCATATATATATGTTTCATATATATATATAATATATATATACACACACACATACATACATACATATATATCAGAATGTTTAGCTCATAGAAAAGTGGAATTTAAATGTATACAACACTGGCACTGTGTGAAGGAGAAATGGATGGTTTCATTGAATCACCACAGCATGAAATTCTGTGAAAGTTAATAAAACTGATTAACAGCCACACATTCAAGAGCAAAAGGATATGCTTTAGGGATTTGCCTTTATTATGCACACAGCTCCTATGCCAGGCATGCATGGCATGTAGTATGAGATTGCACTGATGAAATGTGGGTTGACCTAAAATAAAATCTTGAATAATCTAGGTCTTAGTTTCCCCTACCTTCCTGACTTTTATTTCAGGATAACAGACCTGAAATAACAGGCCTGTTTATTTTGGAATTAACAAAAGGCAAGAGGACCTTTTTAGAATCTTTGGTCTGGAATCTAAATTTTACTGTGGTGGGGACAAAACAGACCATGAGTCATAGTTTCCTAGCACTTGAGTTATTTCCTGAAATTAAGTTAACCCACTGGAACGCTAATTTATTAAATGGTACCCAAGTGACCTTAAAGCACTTCCTAAAATGGTTAATGTAACATCCCACTCTGCTTTAACTTAGTTCTAGGAAACAACTAAAGCACAGTGAGAATCTGACTCAATGTAAATGAAAGTTCTTTGAGGCTACTTGGGAGAAAGTTGCTATGTACATTCAAGAGCTTAATTAGCTAGTCATTTGGTGTACTTGATAAGGAGAACTGGAACTTTTCTAAGCAGTTAAGCTTTTCATTACTGAGTAAGTACTTAAAACAATGTATAGGAATGGATGAGCGGAAAGGCTCATCCATGTGTTGATCTCCATGTGTTGATCTCCAGGAGCGTGCACTAATTTTTGGCATGGTCCTCTTAGTATTGTTCCAATCCTTCTCATTTCGATTGCCCTAAAATGATTTGTGCTTGCTCTTCCTAAGATATTTTCAAGACCTAAAAACAAGTAGCTCTAATCCACATAGGGTTACCAGCTCAATACTATACTCCCAGAGTGTCAGAATGAAGAGAAAGTCACAGATCAATGACCATGTAGATCAAAAAGCATCTAGCAGGATAAATTGAGAATGGTAAAGGAGAGGAAAGCAAAGAAATACTGCAAGGAACATTGATATGAGTGAGCACGTATGGAACGTGTGAGAACTTGTCTTACCTTTTAAAGGGCTGCTTCTCTTTGGAAACATTGGGTATTAACAGCTAATGAATACAGTTTGATCATTTTTGATGGGACTGGTAGGACAAAAATGAATGTAACCATTCATATGCTGCAGGTGAGGGTCCTTGTCTTCTAGATAGATGGAGACATCTTTGCCTCACCATCAAGAAAGCAGAAGCCAAAAGTTGATAGTTCCTCAGCTTCCCATGACCCAGGTTCCAATCTGTCTGTGCCTGCACTCGACTTTTTCCTGAATGTTACAATGAACCATGTCACCTTTCTATCAAAAAGCTGCCCCTCCACTTGGTGTCAGCAGCTCACCCGTACTGACGACTTGAAAGCTTTACTCTTTTGTCAACCTTGACTTTTTCATCAATTTCTCCCTCACTGTACATCAGCATGTATAGTTGCTCCGATAGTTCCAATCTTGAAAGAAAATCTCTTATAATTTTATGTGCCTCCTCAATTCCAGACAATGGTCTCAACGCTTTCATACCGCTGACCACCAGGCTACCAATCCAATTGTCCACCTCATGCTACCAGTCTATTCTTCACTTCTTGTTTTTAAAGATTTAATTTTATTTATTCATGCATACAAGAACTGGGGTATAGGCCAGTGGTGCAAGGGGTGGGAAAATTCACCAGAGACAGATTGGAGAACAAAACAGGTTGGATCTACTAAAATACACTGCTGAGGAGAGTGGCTTGCTGAAGGCAAGCCAGGAGAGATCAGCTGCACCATGTAGGTTATCTCCCTGGCACAGGACTGAACTCTTGCCATACTGGCTGGCAACAGCTTGATAGCACTGAGACTTTAATGCTTGCACCACCACAGACACCTCTCACTCCTTATGTTAAGTGAAATATCACTAAATTCTCTGTAGTTGAGGGCTTCCTCCTTTTGGATGCTCTACTTTCTTGATGTCTATGCACTTCTTTGTCCTGGTTTTACTCCTCTCTCTCAGGCCTCTTCTTTTCTGTTTACTTATTTATTTAATTCTTTTCCTGTATTCCACTTCTCCAGGATGGAATTCCTTTGGGTTTCTTTCAGCCTTTACTCTCTTTGGGTGACTTCTTTGCCACAGTTTTAAATGTTATGTATAAACTCAAACTTAAATGTTTGACTCAGTCTTTTCCTTTTAGCTAACTAACTTTGTAGTTGATACATCTCCTTTGAGATTTCTATTCTCCCAAGCTCCCTCACTATTTGTTCATTACATTTTGAATAAAATCTGAAGCCTCACCCTCACAGTATGATGCTACTCAACTGTGGCACTGTATCTACATTTTTTTTCCTGTTGCTAGGCTCCTAGCTCAATGCATTCCAATCATATGGCCTTTCTCCAGTTATCTGATTGTGCCAGACAATTCTCCTACCTCAGAGCCTTTGCACATACTCTGCTCTCCCTAGGAGGCTTCCCCTTGATTTTTGAATTCTGACTCCTCCTCATTCTCAGGTTTGTGCTTAATGCTCACATTTTCAGAAAGGCCTTCACTGTATAACATCTTTTCTCTCTGCCTTCTTTGCTGGTTGACACCACTCTCCACCCTTTCAAGGGATCTGGAACAACTGTAACAACAACTCGCCTCCTTTCATTTTCCTCTGTCTCACATTTTCCTGTATTCTTTGCCCCTGTGAAATTTCCCAGTATTATCTATTTGCCCTTAACTCTTTCTACCAGAATTCTGAGTCTTTTGTGACACCCTCTCCACTATCTGGGTTATCATTCCACAACACAAGACAGTCATATCTGCCCTTTACCTAAAATTCTTCTCTAACACATTGCCTGGTGATAAAGTCCAGGCTTCTTGTCCGGGCCTAAAGGTCCAATTTTATCTGGCCCCTGCCCCTCTGACCTGGCCCCTGTACCACTCCGTACATACCATCATCCAGATATGTTTGCATTGCTCCTGGCTGTCACTTCCACTTGATGCTACATCTACCCTCCCCAGCCTGAACATCCTCAAACTTCACTGTTTCTGGAGAATTTTCTGGGCTCCTGAGCCTCCCTCATAGTTAGGTAATCCCTCCTGTTCTTTCTTTCCCATAACACCAAACCAGTTTTATTGTAGCGGAGATCATCATCCTATGCAGAAACTGTGCACTTATCAGTCCCTTGCACCACAGTTGGAGCTCCTTGGGAGTGGCAATAGTGAGCCTTCATTTCTGACCCACCACTGCCCAATATCTAATATGAGTAGATTGTTAGTGAAAATTTCTGATGCTATTATTCTACTTTTTGAGATGTGAACACTCAAGTCCTCCTTGTACTGATCAATCTATTAAGTTTTTTGTTTCCCCCAAATTCAGTATGTTTTCTTACTTTTTTTTTTTTAAAGATTTATTTATTTATGCATACAGAACTGGGGTACAGCCAGAGGCTCAGGGGCGGCGAGAAGCGTCACCAGAGACAGAGTGGGGAGCAGAACAGGCAGATCAACGAAGTACACTGCTGAGGGGAGCAGCGGGCGGTCAGGAGAGGTCTGCCACGCCATGTGGTCACCTCCGGGGCAGGCGGGGATCGAACTCATGCGGAAGCGGCTTTTAGATTCTCAGTGCTGTGCTTTAACCCGTTGCGCCACCAGGGAGGGCCTGTTTTCTTACTTTTTACACTTTCTTCCATGGCTATACTCAAGATGATTAAAAGGTGATCAGAGGATCACAGATTTGTCCTAAATCCATCCGATGATGATTCTAAGTCCATGTTTTAAATGTGTAATAACACAAGCAATGATCTCAGGCTTCTAAGTCTCAGTGAGAATGAATGGATCTGGATGGTCTAACAAATTAAATGAGGTAACACACTGGCAGTCTCTCAGGGCTCCTGTTAAGATTAGTTCAGCTCTGAGCTGATGGCTGGCCATGACCTTGTGGAAGTTAAAGGACACAAAATGTCCTCCATTTACCTCTTTAATGTGTAGGAAGTCCTTGGCATCAAAGGAGATGGCTGTGCTTGGAACAGGCACATCTTCGTCCAAAGCGCCACAGTAGCTCACGTTCGTTTTCACGGCAAATGCCACAGGTTTGGACTGAGGACAGAATCATGAAGTAAGTGTGGAAAAAAATTTTTCATATTGAAACAAACAAGATAATTAATAGTACAGACAATAAGGATGGTTTTTCAAAAGGGATCCAAGTGGCTTTTATATTCCCAGGCAACAATGAGAAATCTACAGATGACTAAAAGTGACACAGTTCTATCAGCCCAAGCATTTCCACCTCCTGTAGGTATTTCCAACACCTCTGAACAAAGAACTATGCCTTAAAATACTGAAGAGGGATGGAAGGCAGTCTGCTTTGTTCTGTTAGCCATGAAACTTATGTTTGCTATTGAAAATGATAACAGATATCCCCACCCTTGGGATCCATGAATGTATACTGGGTTTAAAAAAAAAAAAGGTGACGGGGGTTAAAATAATACTTTTGAAATAGCATCAGATTTGAAACCTGTGTCCTCTACTCAGTAGAGTATCTTGTCCTGCAAGAAAAGAAAGACTAGAAAGGACAGTCAAGGTTAGACAGGATGAGCAGAGCTGCACACAGCACCTTCTCCCTAACAAAAGCTGATTTGGAACTCTTGGGGGTGGGAGGATAAAAGTTAGATTTATTTATCACTTTTTGGCCTTTTGGCTAATTTGAGTGTAAAATTTAGATTTATTTAGCTACAATTGTACTGTTATTTAACATTTCCTTTATTTTTTTTTAAATGAGGTAACACTACCTCACCACACTGTATATAATGTAAGGGTATAGTTTTCATACCTCAGATCTCAGATGTATGTCACTACACCACACCACCACCAAAGCACCCACAGTCCTTTACACAGTCCTTTGGTCCCCTTCTTCTTTGTTCCCACCTTTTCTCCACCTCTAGCAGCCTCAGTCCTATAGTCTATTTGGCTTAGTTTTGTCAGTTCTTTTGTGTTTTTTCCTCTACATTCCACACATGAGTAAAATAATTGGGTATTTGTTTTTCTTTTCCTGACTTATAGTATAGTGCCTTCCAAATCCATCCATGTCTTCCTGCAGTATTTCTTCCTGTAGAAATAAATGCTACTTTCTTCTGCTGTTGGCACTTAGGTTTTTGACTTTTTCTATACAAATTCCTCCCTTGCAAGTGCTTTTGGGATGGTACAGTCTCATAGAAACTAAGCAAACCACAGTGAAAGCTAACAGTGCTGCCACTGCTAAAGTGACCACAATGGACACAAAAGAGAGTCCCAAAAAAGGTTGAAAAATTGGCACAAATGATAATCAAGGTTCTACAGTCCTAGCCTGCTTTGCTCTTGGGTCATTTATTGCTAATGGGACAAGTTGGTATCTCACAGTTTCCTTTACACACAGTGACTAAAACCCTCTTCCACCAAACAAACAGATACCATCTGAAGTGTCAAAGCAGATGAAGATACCTCATTTGCCTGCATCGTAGTCCACTTACTGCTCTTTTAAATGTTTTACTATAAATATATAAAAGGGAAAGCATTCACTTTATTGAAGCTTCAAAGTTTCAAATAGTAGAAAGACTCCTAGGAGACAGTCATGATGAGCAAGGAAGAGAGGCAGGCCATGAACTGTGCTTTTATATTTTGAAGTTGTATACAATATTTCATTTGACAAAGCAATCTGTACTGACAAGGAAAAAAAAAAAAGTTTGAAAGACATAGAAAAAAAACTCTCTAGTGACTTTCCTGGTTCTAATATTCAGAAATGTAGCATCCCTTCTTGATTCCTCTGGTTACAGAGATTGCTATGGGGGCAGGAGGGCTTTCTCTGTGGAAGAGCTCAAGGTCTATCTTGACAATGTCTTGTATGACTTGTTTTTGCTGAACTTCTACACGTTGTTCAAGATACTGAACTTTATGCTGGACTTGAGATTGGACATTGAAACCAAGAGAGAAGAACAAAGAAAACAGGTGACTAGCATGTATAGGTGTGGCTGAAGTGAAGGCTGATGTCATCAAGAACTAGGGTTCAAGACTGGGTGGAGCAAGCTGGTGTCTTAGGAGAGACTCGTGGCAAACTGGATGTGGTTACAACTGCCAAGATGTAAGCTGGCCAACAACTCCCCACCAAACTAAATATAAAAGAATGAATTGAAGGGTTAGAGTTTCAGGAAGTGGATTCCTTAGAACATTCTGAACAGATCAGAAAATTTTATAATCTGGTAACTTGTCAAGATGATCATAAAATGTTTCCCAAAAATGTGAGACAGGGCAAAGCAGCTGATATCTTTGGAACCAAAAGGGGTGGGGGGGGGGGAGAACCTCACCTTTGCTCTCTCCAACTGGATAGCAGCTTGCTGCTCTCTCTCCTGACGAATCGCTTCTCGATCCTCTTCCAGAGAGACATCGGAATCAGATGGCCTGCTTGTGTAGGAATCTGCTGAACCCTGGAAAGGAAAACCCGAAATAGTTTAAATGAGGTGGAGCTTCTCAAATTGTCACATCCATAGCAGTATTCTGGAGCAAACTCTTTTCATTTGCGTAGAATGATGTGTACATTCTGTGCCTATTGTAGATATAAATTTGGATGACAGGATATAGTTATGCACCTGAGTAATTCAGAAGGTAGCAATGTTGTGAAGGAAAATATTTTGACTAGATTAAGTGCTAGGAAGTAAACAACAATGAAAATTATTTGTGATAATCCAGCCTCAATTCTTCTTGCTTGTGCTATCTTTATATTAAGCCTTTATTCACTTACAGAACTGAAGTTTCATTTCATTTTCTCTTTTATGTATACATCTAAAGTAAGAAAAGACTCAACCAATTATAAGAGCTAAAACCTTCCTATATCTTGGGTTACAGATGTTTGATTTATCTAAGATTTTAACAAAATAAAGCAGAAACCTGCATTAGTACATTGATTTTCCAATTTCAATGTCAATACCATTGAACTGTCGCACAATTAAAACTTCAATCACTGTGTTACAGTAGCTGTGCTTGCTCACTATGTCTGCTGGAACAACACTGTTACCCAGCCTAGTAGAGGTGGCAAAGAGGTGGAGGCATCCATCATCACCTGGTGCTCATGTTATCAGAAGAGATGGAAACCATGGCTGCTAGTTCAAAAGTGAAAAACAAATTTGCAAGTTTGTCTTATGGTTGTTAAAAGAACATCATTCTCACAATTTCCTTAAACCAGGTTTAGAAGCTGATATTTGCCCAGATGATAACATAATGGATATACTGATAGAACAGGTGTCTTTGGCATGTTTCATAGTTATGCACTAGCTTTGTAAAGTACATACTTATCTATGTACAGCTAAGAATTTGCTCTCCATTTCAAAATACAGGTTTCAGAATGGTTGACTGCTGGAATGGGCTCTTTAAAGATTTTTCTAAACTTAGAAGTGTTAAGATTTGTTTGTTTGTAGCTGTAAATTTGCTGCCTGTAAGAGAAGCTTTATCTCTCTCCATAAAAGATATCATTCCATCCAGGATGATCCTTCCTACTGTAAAAAAAAATCCTAGTTCAGATTTTTCCAGGCAGCCTGGAACAACAGCTCTGGTTAGAAGTTTTACTGGAGGGCTCAGTAGAGCCCTGTTTCTAACTTCTACCTTTCAATCCACTTCAGAAAACTTTAAGCAAGTTTAAAATTGGAAAACTTGTACAATGGGGTTATTGCCTAATTTGTAAGATTAAATGGGATGAGATTTAATGGACAGTGGTTATTTACTGAGCACTTGATATAGCACCAGTGTGGGGTGAAATGCTTGCAGCAGTGAAAAAGCTGGGACTGAAACTCCATTAAGCCAACCACAGAGCTACTCTTTCAACCCTACACTGAGCTCCACATGATATTAAAATATTTACCCTGGTATATAACACAATGTAGGGACAAAACAAATTGTCACTCTCATTCCTGGCCCCTAGTGCTGCTATTTCTACAATGATTAAAAAAAATTAAGTCTAATCATTTTTCATTTATAAGATGTATATACAGTAGCCCATCTTGAATGCTATCCATTTTTCTTCTTGTATTTACATATGTGCATAAAACATTCTAAGTTTGATTATTATAATGTGTGCAACTCTATACACTCTACACTTCATGTAGCATTGTTGGAAGTTCCCTTTATGGAAGAAATGCATTTGTTAAATATATGATAACCAAATTTCTCTCTTCAATTCATCTGGACCTTCAAGTGGATAATGACTATTACACTTTACTTTCAAATGAGCTATCTTGAAATTCTTTAAGAGTTGCCTTAGGACAGCCCCTTTGTCCACATTTAGGTACAGTTGCATAAAATTCAGATGAAAAGAGAAAGGAAAAAACATCTGTAACATACATGTGAAAACATTTGAGCTAACTAGGTTTTGCTGAAATGTGATGTGTGTGGTCAACTGTTTAAAGGTGTTGGACTGGCTGCCAGTAAAGATGTTTGGACCATAAAGTGACTGTGATGCAGTAAGTCAGGAAGGAGGTACTTGCCTTGTTTTGAGAACATGGCGGGGAAGGTAATGATTACAGATCACAGGAAAGCAGCTGCCCCCGAAGCAATGGCCAAACAGTTAAAATACACAGTCTTCTGTTGACACTAGGAGATAGCTAATTTCCTGATACACCCCAACGGCTTTTCAAATCCTGGCATTCAATCATCTCTGAGCACACAAGTGACTTAAGGACTCTTTATTTTGAAATGTGAGCAAGATTGTAAGAATTTCAAAACTACTTAATAAGCTCTACTCCTGCCAAATACTTAATAAGCTGTACTAAAACAGAGCATCTGTTTACTTCCCTGTTTCTAAGAATATTGATAGAGGGGAAAATAAAACACTATAATATTCATTTTTATAATGACAGTGTTCTAGAATAGTAACATTTATTCTGTTTTTTTTTTTCTTTTTGTTTTGTAGTGTTACCGACATTTTGTCAAATCTGGGAATCATTGCAGGGAAAGCAGAGTTCCATCACCCAGGGCTCAAATTTGGTCTATCAACAGGTTTTGCTGGCTTATCCCAGAATTGGTTTTCTATTTTTTTACAACTGGTTGAAAGAGAGTACATCCATATTCCAGGAGGAAGGAAGAAAAAAGAAAAAGGACCTAAGTTATTTACAAAGGTACAGAGAGAAAAACAAGGGAATCAATTAGAGGCAAGAGGAGACTGTGTGGCCTGGAATAGAAGATGACTTGGGAAGTAAAGAGGATACAGATGGTTTGGGGCAATATGAGTGGTTAGAGAGGGCTTACCCAGAGGTCTGTTGAACATTTATAATCAGAAACAAGGAAATGGCTAGAAGGAAATAATGCAAGATGCTCAGACAGAAGTAAAGGTGTAAAGGTTACTAGCTTTGGCCAAATCTGTGAATTGCAGTCACTTTTATTTCATAAAATGATCAGAGTAAACTACCCAACTTATCAAGTGACCCCAAATAGGGCTGTTAATTCGCCTGTGAGGGGCATAACAGAAGCTAGTCTCCCAAAACCTAAGCAGACACATTATCAAATCATATATTAGAGTCGCCAGTGAACAACTAAATGGGGGAGAAATGGAAACAGTTGCTGCAAATCTCTTCTCTCTTCTAACACACAATTTTTTTTTAAAGATTTTTATTTATTTGTACATACAGAACTGGGGTACAGGCCAGAGGCTCAGGGGTGGCGAGAGGCTTCACCAGAGACAGACTGGGATGCAGAACAGGAAGATCGACAAAGTACACTGCTGAGGGTCAGGAGAGGTCTGCCACACCATGTGGTCAACTCCAGGGCAGGTGGGAATCGAACTCATGTGGAAGTGGCTTTAGCTTCTCAGTGCAGTGCTTTAACCCGCTGCGCCACCAGGGAGGGCCTTCTCACACACAATTTTAAAGCCATAAAGTAAGACCCAGATTCTTTTCTCCCCTTTTATTCAATATAGAAAATAAATTCCAGTCTCATGCCTTTCATGAAACTTCTTGAATACAATACAGTGATAAAAACATGGGCAAATAATTTCCTGTTGTTCTGGGAAAAGGAAAGTGATCTCTAAGTCAAACAATGGAAGGATTTCTTCCCATTTGGGGGCTTGGGAGATGATATAGGTAGAGGAGCAAACCATGGAAGCCGAACAGTATCGGGTTTGAAACTGCTGCTAGTTTTGTTGACTGTGAATCATGGACAAATTAAGTTTGTGAGTCTCACTTTCCTCCCATGTGAAATGAAGGTAATAATAATATATACCTTTGTAAAGTTTTCTGGTGTTTGATTTGAGCTGGAATATAATTTCTTTTACCATTATGGGCAAAACTCTGAAAATGCCAGCAATTAATCTATGGCTCCTTCATTAAAGTTTCTGGCAACTCTTTTAACATTAAATTTTTGGCTGTCCTAGAGATTATGATTTATTTTGTTCTTAGTTTAAAAACAAATAAACAAAAAAAACCCAGCTTTACTCATGTATAATTTACATATCATTAAATCCATGTATTCTGAATATACAATTCAATGATTTTAACATATCTCCTGAAAACAATTTATACCACAATCTAATATTGGAACATTTCCACCTCCTCCAAAGAAACATCATGTTTATTTGCACATACTTCCAGGCCCAGACATTCATTTACTTATCTTGTCCCTTTAAAATTGATGAATGCTGTCTCTTTTTGTGAGTAAATTTAGCATTTATATATATCATTAAATTACTGCAAATGTTTAATTACAATATTTTAATGAAAGAAATGCTAGATTTTAAGATATATGGATACTGGAACATAATTTCACTGTTATTATAAGTGTTAGGTTTCACAGTCAGGCTGTCCTGGGCCTCTTACTCCCTTGCTCTGCTGTCCATCTGTCCATGTCAGGTCCTGTAAGTGGCACTACAGAGATGTGAGACGGGAATTGCTTGACTTTCCAGGGTTCTTTCCACATCTGCCAAGTGAAAATGAAACCCTTGATGCTTATTTTTGAGAAGTAACATGATAACCTTAGTACAACAGAGCATATACGCAGAATAATGGCAAAACTAACTCCTTGCTGTCCAAGAGAACTTTCTCCGCTGATGTTTAAGTTCTGCATGAGTGCTGTCCAGTAGGACAGCCACTAGCCACATGTGGTTATTAGAGTATTTGAAATGTGATTATTGAGACCAAAGAACTGAATTTGTGATTTATGTTTTAAATTACATGTTACTGTACTTAATTTAAATTTAATGGCCCACATGTAACTGGTAGATACCCTATTGGATTTCACAGTTACAGACGCTTTAAATGTCAGCTTCACTTCTAAAGAATGTTAAACAGTGCCAATTTGGTATTTTCACATTATATGGACTAAGTGATGGTGACATGTCTAGACTCCTCATGAATTTGACACTTTTTTCTCCATTGAGCTTGCAATGGCTAGAGGATGCATTTTTCCACATTGCAGAAGAAATAAAGCCTTTCTTGATTACTTTTCC